TGGAGCCAAAATAAATACCTTATATTTATTTTTGTTATGCTTTGGTTTTTGTTACTGTTCTATGTTCAAGCTATGGCTCATATTCTTACAAAATGTAAAAAGGTTGCCAGCTCTAGCTTTTTAAATCTTAGAGAGGTCATGGATTCAGAATTTCATAAAAAGAGCATGAAAGAAGAGATTATTTTAAAAGTGACTCCACTACTTATATAGCTTTTCTAGGGACTTGTGCTGAAAAGGTTTTATAGGTTTTGGTCTCCAAACTACAGCTCTATAAAAACATAAGCAAAATGTGAAAATGTAGCTAGAACTAACAAAACACATAACTTTTTGTTATTTTTTAGCCCATGAAAATATCTGAAAGTTCTTCCAAGATCAATAGACTTAAGCAAAATTAGGATGTCTTTAAAACTTATTCTTTCATTCAACAAATTCTTAATTGAACACTACTGTGTTCTAGGTGTGCTAATTCCTGGGAATTATAACTGTGAACAAGAGAGACAGTCCTTTTACAGGGCTTTTATTTGTGTATGTATGAGTGTGTGTGTGTATAAATGTATGTATGTGTGTATTTATGTGTGTGTGTGTGTGTGTGTGTTAGATCACACAAGTATGACCAATATTGTGTTGGAGAATGTACAGGGGAGCTTATAGGAGCGGCAATTAACAAGAGTTGATTTTTTTTTTTAACTTAAGACCTGAGACCTGGAGTTTAATAGGAATCAACATAACATGGGTAGGGATAATCTCAGCAGACAGAATAACTGGTGCTAAAAAGGAACAGAAGGAAGAAAGAATATAGCATATTCAAGAACTCAAAAAATTTCAGAATGGCTATAGAGGCAAAAAAAAGAGGGGGAGAACAAAAAAGGAGTGCGAGGATGATAGAAGTAGAAAAGATGGGTGGTTGGCTGGAGGTGTCCTTATCTTGGACATCTCAGTCAGTGAGATGGAGTAAACTGAACTATCCACGAGTAGTTGATAATCAGTCAATAAGTATCATTCACTATAATTGCATGGGCCCTACCAAGTTGA